GTGTGTGTGTGTGTGTGTGTGTGTGTGTGTGTGTGTGTGTGTGTGTGAGAGAGAGAGAGCGCGCTGAATGTAATGGCCAAGCAGAGGCATGTAGATTAGTTACCGGTGATCGAGAAATCCGATTAAAAAAAGCTGTTAACACTGAATTTTTATCATAAACAACGAATTGCAAAAACAGTGCAAGTAAGAGATTACTTTGCAGTGCAGATGCTCACTTTCTGTATATCATTTATTTCCGGTTTGAATAAGCATTTAGTTTTTTATGCTGCTTGCTAATAAACTAGTTCATAAAGGGTTCTCGTTTTGTTTGTGTAGCCTGCAGAATGTGGCACGTTTTTCCCCAGACACAAAACTGTTTTTAATGTATTCTGTTAATCAACATTAATAAGCCATTATTACAATATCAAGGCCAGTAACTGACAGTATTGATTGAAATGAGCTTCAGGCCTATGGGCTCAATGCCTAAAGCAGAAAAGGTGCTTTCGACTCAACATTCAGAGCTGCATTAAACAGTCTGTGTGGCATTTCAGATGCAGCTTCTGTGCCGTTTCTGCAGAGCAAAGATTGATTTGTTGATACAGATTTCATTTGAAAAAAAAAAAGCAAACAGCATGTGAACAGCAGCGAAACCTCTCAGAACAATTTTAACCCATTTAAAGGGACCTTAACCATATTTGAAAAAAAACGAAACAATTACAAGTGAATTAAATGTATCAAATTATCGTTTGGAATGTCTATTTTGGAAATAGGGATGGGCACTTTCCAAAAATATTGTATTAGAATATTGAATATTCAAAAATTTATTTAAATGACGTTTAATGAGAAAGACGTAATTTTTTTAACAATCAAGTTTTTTTCACCATTTCTGAGCAAGCTTTTGATTAGGCATCATACACAAAATTTCGCACTTTGATATGAAAGGATACAGGCGACAGCGCGCCGGCGCCTTTGTGCGTGAAATTGAAGAGCACGCGCTGCGAGTACAGTACCGTATCCGCGCTCGTTTGACTCGCGCCTGGCGCTGAAATGAAGCTGGAGCACGCGTCTGAAACGTCTCCCGTTCTCAGTTGTTCTGCGACTGAATAAATGCACTTCTTGTCAAGAGAAAAACTGACAGAAGCAGCAGTTGTGAGTGGTGGCCAACCCTAGCCCTGCCCCTGCATTAATTGCATTAAATATTTTTAACGCATTAAACTGAAAAAATAAATATAAAAAAATAATATATATATCAACACCACGCCAACGGCTGTAGTTGGTCCATTACCGCCGCGGTGGTAAAAATCTGCCACCGTCACAGCCCTACTGATTCATTTGATCAAAAGTAATTCCAAACTTTACGAAGCAGACGATGACATTTTGCGCTCAAATACAATCAGCTTGTTATCATACTCCACAGCGCCACCCAACTGACTTTTAGTTTGCGTGCTCAGGATTTATCATAGATTCCCTGCATTTACCGACAGCAAAGCAACACTTTATTAGAGTTTTTATTTTTCGAATAAAAATTATGGATCGAATATTTTTTTTGCTTGTCCTCACTTACTGCACATATAATCACATTATGAACAAATAATCTTTTGCACCAGTTCTATCAATGAATAATTTCAGGAATTATTGAATAATATGTGAACTACCCATGTGTCACAGAATTGATTATGCCATGAGAGGCTGTCCAAACATGAAACTTCATCAAAATATGCGATTGAGAGTCTTCAGAAGCTCATCCTGATCAACAGAGAAATTCCTTTATTTATAAAGCTGTTTCATTGCATCGTCTATGTCCGTTTCATTGATTTGTTTTTAATTGTGATAGTTCTACTTTTACTTTGTAATGTGTGATAAGAGCCTCTTTCAGCAGTAATCTTGCATTCAAATGTAGTTTCTGACAATTTGATGTTGTTTTGGACTCCAAGCCTGGTGTGTGTCTGGAGCTTTGGTGAGTGTTGCAGACATCTGACAGCAGAGGGTGATATTTCAGCACAAACAGTCCGTAGACGTGACTTCAGTCATTGCTGTGGTGATTTATGCTGCGCTCAGTCCTCTGTTCTGGAGAACATCACGGCAGCCTGTGTTTGCCACGGCTTCACCAGCCTTCTTTGAAACCTTCATCTTTGCATTTTCAACAACATTGGGATTTTTGAGGAACTATAATCATATTTTTGCTAGCCTTGCACTGTAGGCTAGTTTGGCAATTTTTATTTAAGAGATTTGTTCTGCATTAATGCGTTTATAGTACTTATTTAGCTCTCCTAAATGCTTCCTGATGTCTTGTAGCATTGCAGAAAGCTTTGCTGACTTTGTTGAAACGGTGTTTGTTGTGGTCCAACGTGAGCCTTTCTGTAGTTTCAGTCTTACTTGCATGCTTCACAGGTGCAAAACTGGCTTTGCTTGTTCCACAAACTTTGTTTTTAAGTTAAGGTTAGTCATTCCAGTGCATTTAGACGAATGCAGTTGCCCCATTACCACCACTCTCTGAAAGATCAAGTTTGTGATCCATTATATTGCTTTTCCATGAGGTAAAGATTAATTGTATAAAGCTAAAGTTATACCAGCCCGGTCTTGAACTTGATAAGTGTGCTGAAACATTTATGTTGTTGTCACAGAAAGATACTCGGAGTTGGAAATGTGCTATAGTAGCCTACACAGTGTTGATTTTTCATTATGAGCGAGTGTCGCGCTGGCAGTGTAGATATAGCATCACATTAGACAACTTTGACTGAGCGAAAGTTTTGTTGCATCACAAATCACGGCTGGCTTTTACTGTAGACGCAGTGTGACAGCATTTGCAGCGCTCTGAAGCTGAAAACACTGAACGATGAGGAGCCTCATGGAGCGCAATGACTATACACTTCTATAATTCGATCACAGGGAAGATGATTTTAGCATGAATAAACTAAATTGCTTTGATAAAGCAATGGCTAAATACAATGCAATCTTTTTTTATGTTATGAAAAGTGTAAAAATATTTTCTGTTCGTTATAAAACTAGGCGACCACAGCTAATAAATAATGTGTATGTATAGACTAGGACAATTAAATTTCATCTTCATCACTGGCTAACGATAGGAAGTGACTGAATGGAATGGTGTGATATAATAAACCAATCATGTCTCTTCATCATGTCATGTGACTTGGCTGCTATTGCTCTTTCGGTTGGCCTCAAGCGCGGAATTATATTTTAGCAGCTGCTAAAAACATTTCTGCTGCGACCGTCTCTGCCCCAGAATCAGCACAGATATCCTCTGCGGTCACTCTTGTCTGAATAATCAACCAAATGCACAGCCCTAGGCATCACTGTCAACTACAGAAGTCTGATTCCATACATATTTAATTTAATAACATTAGCGGTACCATTTTTAAACTTTTTTTGTGAATATTTATCTGTGTAGTTTCTGTGCCAGTAGCGCACAGATAATTAGATGATGAGATTTGATGGCTCAGCCCAACGCAACAGGCCTGGCTTGGCCGATAGTGTGAGTTTGGGGCGGGATCATCTGCTTGGACTGACCAATAGAATACAGGGAGTGTCTTCAGAAAACCTCTTTGAAAACAATCATGATTTTATGACATTATCGGCTATTGTTAATCTAAACTTTTCAGTCTTTCCTAGAGTGATTCATTGCATATTGGACTACAACTGTCTGACATCAATCTCACGGATGTGCTTTTTTCTCCTCTGCTCTCTTTAATGCAGAAGATGCTGAGATAAGCGAGTGCTGTGGTCAAGTGCGTTCTGTTTTGGCAGTAGACGAATGGCACAGGGAAACCAGCAGAGTGACAACCAGGTTCTGCATCACCTGCGGCAAAAGTTTCCAGAGGTTCCCGAGGACGTGGTGTCCGAGTGTGTCCTGCAGGTGAGGTACACACGCTGCACTTGCACATTTTTCAAAAGGTATTTCTATAAGCCTAGGTAGTTTGTACATTCTTTTGAAATTCATCTGCACAGTTTGTCACACAACAGCTATTAAGTTAATATGACATCAAAAGTGACCTACAAAAAAAAAGATTTTTTTTTGTTTGTAGAAGCATTTTTTTATTTTGAACTAGCACCTCATGACTTCACCACGTTATGTACCAGAAGCTGCAAAAGACACAGGCGCACGCGGAATGTACAAAACATGGTGACATTAATTCTTATGTAAATATAATGGTCGATATATTGCGTCACCAAAAATGAGTCGATATATTGATTATTGCGACAGGCCTACAGCCGTGTTCTGCTTGCCTCTACAAAAACCCTCATATATACTGTATATCTATATCTGTAGCTGACAGACTTGTCTCTCTCTTCTCCCCTCAGAATAAGAATGATTTAGCTGCATGTTGCGAGTACCTGACCAAAGTGAGTCCTGGTTTCTTGTATAGTGAAGGCAGCCAGAGTTTGACAGATCTACGCAATCACATGACCCAGCTCAACCTCGGCGTGTCTCAGAATACCCATGGTGCAGTGCAGCGAGATGTAGTGAGGATGAATGGCAGCAGGACTGTCCCCCCCAGTGTGAGCGATGGGCCTTTAAACGTGCCTCCTCCCCAGCCCGAGACGCCACCTGCGCCGACACACAATCCCACGAGCCTCAGTGCCTTCACCACCATGGAGTCCACTCGCAAGCCGCCGCCTCCTCAGCACCTGGGCCTTTACCAGGTTGGGGGCAAAGGTCACGGACCGCCTCCAACCCCGCGCTTCAACCCAATCACGGTGACGCTTGCGCCGAACACCGGCCGCAGCACACCTACCTCCCTGCACATCCACGGAGGGCCTCAGTCGGGTCTGAACAGCCCAAACTCCATCTACATCCGGCCGTACGTGACCCAGCCGGGCTCCACGCGACAGGCCCCCGGCCGTGCTCAGTACAGCCCCACCTCGCAGCCCACACAGCAGATCTACCAGATCAGCCACCCTGCAGCTTCCCAGAGCTCCTGGAGCGGCGGCCAGCATCAGACCTCACACGTGTACATGCCCATTAGCTCGCCCACCAGCACCCAGGCCCCTCCCATACCCTCGCCTTCCTCCTGCTCGTCCTCCTTCAGCCAGTACAACATCCAGAACATCTCGACCGGGCCACGCAAGAATCAGATCGAGATCAAGCTGGAGTCTCCACAGAGAGTGGCTGGGGGTTCGAGCGCGGCCACAGCAACGCTCCTGCGCTCGCCACCCTCCTGTAGCTCCGCGTCTTCGTCCTGTCCGTCGTCATCGTCGCTGGCTGCCAGCACAGGTCCCTCCACTCCCATCTCGATTGGAGGCACAGGTCTGAGTCGCAGCCAGCCCACGGTGTACATCTCTGCTTCTCCTCCCGCTGCTGCCTCCACCTCGGCGGACGACTGTGCCGTTGTGCCTCGCTCACAGCCCAAGTTCTATATTTCTGCAAACACATCCGCAGACGACGGAGGGGCGAGGAACCCGCCGACGGTCTATATCTCAGCCAATCCGGCGCTCCAGGCTTCTGCGGGATTGCGCCCTTTAGGAAGCCAGAGCATGGGCCCTGCGTACATACACCACCACCCACCCAAATCCCGTCCCTCTGTGGGAGCCGGAGGCACGGCCACGTCTCCTCGTGTGGTGGTCACGCAGCCCAACACCAAATACACCTTCAAAATCACTGTCTCCCCCAACAAACCTCCGGCAGTGTCTCCTGGAGTGGTGTCGCCCACGTTCGAGCCGACTAACCTGCTCAGTCTCCCAGGAGATCACCATTACGCAGAGCCGGATCCGCTGAACCAGTCTGACCCGCTCTCACCTCAGCGGGACACAAGCTCGGAGCCGCGCAGACTCAGCATGGGTGCAGACGACGCTGCCTACACACAAGGTACGTTCATCAGGGAGGACACCGATCACTCCTGTAAATGCTTTGCTGATTGCGTTTCACCATGCCTTCCATTCGGATTTAATACATCATTGCATGATCTTTTTTTTTTTTTATGTTGTTACATTTTAAGATATATATTTAAGAGTTCTACACTAGAGCGTTCTGCACCACTAGCCTAGGCTATTTCAGATATTTGCCGCCTTTGATCCTTTTGTTTTTTAGGTTGCTAGACACTAAAGCTAATAAGTACCTAAAATAGACACATGGTCCATCATATCTGCTGTTACAGCAAATAATCTCTCTTCTACTTTAACCTCTTTCTCTGTATGTTAGCTAATGTTGAGAATAATGTCAGAAGTGTTGTGTCCCATATAGAACACAGCCTACCCGAGTGTAAGGCATGCTTTATATTTTGTGTTTGTTGTAAAACCTTATAAAACTGTGAACCCAGACATGCTCACCAAAACTGCAGTCGTAAACAGAGTACTCTGTTGTTAACATCCGCCTGGAGATGAAAACCAAGGTGTGAGTGTGAGTGTGAGTGTGAGTGTGAGTCTGTGTGTGAGTGTGAGTGTCTGTGTGAGTGTGAGTGCGTGTGTGTGTGAGAGAGAGTGAGAGAGAGTGAGAGAGAGAG